AAAACGGGACAGTTTTTTAAATAATAACTTATATTTACAATAAAATTAGAAATTGTATAATTGTATATATTTGTAACTGTGATAAATAAAATGTTCTATGAATACATGGTGTAATTTAAGATATCCTTTGAAATAGAACAAATAAAATAAAATTATGTAACCCATTGTTAGATACAAAAAAATAAGTTCGAAGTTAAAAATGATATATATGTGCTATATTTTGAAATTTACATGTCGTCAAGTTATAAAATTATGTTTAATTGTCTATATTTTTGATTTGGGTATTTAGTATGCAAGAATCGATTAAGCAATTTCTATATACATGCAGACTAAGAATCTAAGTAAGTAATGTCTAGTTTAATTTTAAACATTCCATATTTTTAAATCGACCACTTGGTATACAAGAATCTAATAAGTAATTTTTAATTAGTTTCAAATTTTCTTTACTATGAAATTGACCTTTTGGTGTGCAAGAAACTAGTAAGTAATGTCTAATTATTTTTAGACATTCTATATTTTTAAATCGACCATTTGGTATACAAAAAACGAGTAAGTAATTTTTAGTTATTTTGAGGTTTTCTGCATTATGAGATTGACACCTTGTTATACAAAAAACTAGTAAGTAATGTCTAATTATTTTTAGACATTCTATATTTTTAAATCGACCACTTGGTACACAAAAAATTAGTAAGTAATTTTTAATTATTTTGAGGTTTTCTTTATTATGAGATTGACACCTTGTTATACAAGAAACTAGTAAGAAACTAGTTAATTATTTTGAGATGTTCTTTATTATGAAATTGACCACTTGTTATACAAAAGCTAGTAAGCTATTTTTAGTTATCTTAAAATCAGCAACTTCGTATACAAGAATCTAGTCTTGTCTCTTTCATCATTTCTTTTAACTATTTCACTCCCACTATTTTATTACAGTTGTGAATAATTGATAACAGTTTAATCCAAGTAAATCCCACATTTATAAACGACGAATCACGAAGCTGGACGATAAATGTATTCCAAAGATTTGTTCGATGTTTCGTGAATCGAAAGATTATATCAGTGTAAGATTTCATTGAGTACGAGATCTGCCACCCTCCTTTGAAGAATGTGCTTTAGGCAGAGCAAAATAGGGTACGAGGGGTTGTACCGTTTGAAATAATCGATATAGCAATCTTGTAAGGAGAAAATATTTTAAAGTCGAGTTTCTGTTGGAATTTCTTCTGTAACGCATATTCAAACGTCTGTACCTCGTTCAATTAAAATATTATATTTCAAATTTACATACTTATATAGCATTATACAGTCATATTATGCTTTGTAATAAATATATGTATAATTTTCTTCTTAGGTTAATTTCTTCGTTTCCAGATTAGTTAATGAGGAACAGCGAATTTTTTAATCCACTACTTTTAACGTTAATGTAGTGGATTTTGTTCGTATAAAAATTATTTGACCATTTATAGATTATTTACTGACACTCGTTTATTAAGATATTGGAGACAATATTTAACAAGGACCAATGAGACCAATAACTGAAATAAACATCGTGTCATCATTATCATCATATCTCCTTGTCAAAATGGTGGATTTCTTCAAAATGGCGCATTTCTGTCAAAATGGTGGACACAAAAATTATTAAGAAATCGTGCCAAAATCTACGCTAACTCAAGCTAAAAAAACATATAAACTAGTTTATTACCCTTACTTTATTATCCCACCTTATTTTCAATTGAAAAATAATTGATTATTAAACGTCCATAAATACATTTAAGTTATCTTGCAATAATAATAAATGAACCTCATTTAATTATCACAGTAATAAATTACAATTTAAAGTACATGTCCTTTCATATAAAATTGCTCTGAAAGCATGTTAAACATAAATCCACTTGCCAAAATAGGAAACCACGTAAAGCCATATACACGTTATTGAACTGCACACGTGGTGCTCGTTTTACACGTTTTACAAACGTCGCAAATAAACAATTTTCAGCACACGGTTCGCAATACGAGCCTGCATATGGCCTAGACAGATGCTTTAAACCAAACCCGCTTTTCTCTTCTGCCCAGTTTCGAGGCTGAACGTATTCTTCGTGGCCGTGTCGGATTTCGTGTCGAACGTAGTCTTTTTTGCGCGAACGTCACACGACACCTCTGGAAACCGCCCAAAACATAATCCATAGTGTGGTGTATGCACGTCCCGACGCTGTAATTAGGGTGATATTTTCATAAAAGCTATTGGGGTAAGGTGTACCGCAAATACTATTACCGGGAACGTTATTAGAGGTCTAAAGTTGCCCCTCCAATAGGTGGTAGCTCGGTGTCGAGTTACCTGGGGCACAAGCGTGAAATTTAACAGAGGTTTTATATGAGAATACGAAGCTTGTGTTTGTTTATTGGGAAGATTCTAATCAACGATGAACGTTTAAGCTATCAACCCCATCTAAAATGAACAGGTGCACTAATGTGGTGTTTTAAGTACTTCACACTGTGGATGCTTATGTGTTTACGATAAGAAGTTGAGTCCGAATTTATTGAATAAATCTCTCAAAGGAATTTAGGTGAACATAGGTAAATGATCAGATAAATATCCTGACAGCATCTTTGTATCTTTTGTAAATCTGGTAGTCTGACTCTGAATCTGATAGTCTGATAGTATTCAATAAATGAGTTTCTTTTGAAAGTGGGGCAATCCATTTTTGAAAGAAACGAAGACAATGATAACAACAGATAAACTATATTATAATACTTTTATCTGCAAGCATTATATAGTAAACATAAGTTCCTAACATTTGGGTGATTTGTATGGAAAAGATGCTTACTAAAATTCTGTTTAAATATTTATCTAATAATTCAATTCGAAGAAAAATTTTCACGTACAACGAATTTAAAGAATATTGACTATAATATTCTCTAAATAAAATACTATTGACTATAATATTCTTTATAGAATAAAGCAATGCACTGTCCATCCATTTACCAACGACTCTTCGCACACAGTTCCCAAAGCAAACAGTTCCTTAGCACCTCAACAAACAAAAAGCCGGGTACTCAACCGAGGTTACCCTCGCATATTTGAACGTATACCACGGCGTAACAGAAATGGGCGAAACGAACAAGAAACCGCGATTCATCCGCGAAGCAGAAAAATCAATCCGATCGGGAATAAAGCGTTTCACCCTGTACTTCCTGCTGGTACTTTTTGCCAGTCGCATCATGGTCGCTTGTACTTCAAAGTTACGTTAATACCTGGTTAGGTGCCCCTTCCATTAGAACAGGTATGCAAAACCATAGCAAATGCAAATGTCGCGCGTGTCCACTCGCGTGCTCTTCGAGGGATCAACGATCGCAATCACCGATGTCACGGCCGGACTTATTGGTCGCGATACGCCTAATAGATCGATACCCACCCGTTATTACACATGCCTCGCCGTTGAGAGCCGCCAGCGGTCCACGTTACAAATAACACGCCGAGGGCTTTTCTAATGAGCTAGGATCTGCACGTGACCGGATCTGCGCTTCAATTTTACGCGCGAAGATACACCGGTCGTGTCCTGAAGATCACCGGCGTGATCTTGTGTTGAGCTTTGTCGTTACTATGTGTACCTTAACTAGTAGATCTACAGATTAGGTATTTCACGCGAATGAAAATGTGTGTATAAAATTTAGAGTATCTTGCAAGTGTGTAGATGGAACAAGAATGAGGTGTAGAGGTTTAAGAGCTGTTCCAAATGATTAAACGTGTCTGAAACTATAGAATACGATACCGAATTATTGTTGATTTCATGTCGACGTCAATGACGACCAAGTATTGTCAGCGATGAGTTATGAAGCTTTTAATGTAGTTCCAGTCGATTCTGAGTGTCAAAAATTATCGATTGTGGCCAAAATTTATACAAGATTTAGAGTGTCTCCACCTTCAAAATTTCAAGTGAACGGATCCAAAATAACGGCCTGTTGCGTAATGAAGACAAACAGACAATCAAATACAGATCGTCTTAGGAGTCTCACTCAGTTCGGCAAACGTAACCTAATTTAACTCAGCCTCTAAATCTGAATCAGAGTAAAATTCATTGATTGAGTCAGTTAACTAGTCTCACTGGTTTTCAGTGAATTTGACTGCTAAATTAATACATTTCCGGTGAAACTAGTTACAATACTGAATTTAGCTGAACTGAATGCGTAAATAAATAGTTATTCCAGGAGTATCGCTACATTCGGCAAATGTATACTTGAGGTATATTACTTAAGGTATGTTGGCGATATAAGAAACAAATTGATGGTGTAGTAAATACTATAGTATAATATACATATGATAATAATAATTTAACTGAAACTTTTGACCTATATTTTAGAATCTACGGTCCAGAGTTGAACACATAAAGAATCACAATAATCCAAATCTTAACCTTGATATTTAAAAATCTGTAAACTACCTCATAAACAATGAACACATTGAAAATATTTTTGCCAATATTTTTTAAACTAAAAGCGTTGTTTATACAGAGAAGTAGTTCAGAATGATGTCCTCGACAACATACTTCAGTGTCATAAAAATCAGTGAAGTATCTCTTCACAAACAATGAAGACATTGAAAATATCATTGCTAATATTTTAAAAATCAAAATCAAGCGATAGTTATATGTACAAAGAGAAGTTGTTCGGAATGTCCTTGGGAATATTCGAAAGCCATAAAAATGCCCCTCCACAAATAATTACCATATTCAGAATATTTTTGCGAATATCTTGAAAATTAAAGCCCATCGTCCCGAGAAAAATTGTTCGAAATGATGTCCTTGGCTACGAGGATCATCGAAATCCGTGAGGTGTGCCCGTTTCTCCATAATTACGGTAATTTTTAACTGCACCGACCGCCATAATTTCCTGAGCGCTGACTGATAGTATTAATTTCTTCGCAAGATCGATTGCAACGGTTGCAGGCGATAAATAGCGGCGTTCTCAAACGTGTTAAACAATAACTCATCGAAACAATTACTCACCACATGGATGCCCTCAGCGTCTCTCCTGAGATCGCCGCTCCTTTGGCCAGCCGTGACAGCAGCGCTCAGGTGATTATAGTGATGTTGATGTAACGTGTTGAGCGTTTGCGTGTAAGGATCGCCAACGAGGTAATCGAGATGTTGCGGTTGTCCAAGGCCAGGGTGTTGAGGACTCGCTGGCGCGTGGTGGTGCGATGGAAAAGGGGGTGGAAAATATGGTGGTTGAAAGTCGGAGGCGGTGGGCAAAGATGCGCCACCGTGATGGGGCATCCCACTGCCGTTTCCATTGCCTCTGTGACCATGGTGATGGGCACCGGAATACGGCGAGGAATTTCCACCGCCCAGCGAGGAAATACCCCCGTGACCAGTTAAACGGTCCTGTAAACAAAATTGTGCATTCGTTACTACATGTTCGATGATCAAAACTTTACCGTTGTCCATTTCAAGCTTTTAACCCTTTATCGTACGTTGACGAGTCTTGCTCGTGACGCATTTACAGCTCAAACCTTACTCAAATTTTGAATACTCTTCAACTTGAAATTTAGGTCCAGCTATACGTTATATCATCAAGGAATCCTGAATATAAAATAGTTACAATATTTTAATTTTCTTTGTTTGCTTTAATGTTATAGCTCTGTATAGTTAATTTTGACTGGCGCATCTGTTAAATAACACGGGAAGGGGTTAACTTTTTGATAGACGTGTTTATACATAATTCTACAATTTATACAGTTTATACATTCGTTCGAAGGATCTAGGGTAAGTGACAAAAGGTCAAATTTAGTCTTCTTATCACAAGGCATACTTGCCTTCCTGCGTGGTCGAATTCTTCAAGTACGACGTTCTCTATGTATATTGTCTTATTTGCTATAATTGATTGTAATACTACAAAACGTATTAAGTCACCTGTTCTACATTATACTTTCTTTTGCATAAACGGTACCCATTAGATAAGTAAAATGATAGTTAGACAATATCATCGTATTCTTTGATATTAGCAATTAACCCTGCCTAATTTGGTACTACTTCAATATTTACAATTCAATTTGACACTGATGTGTAAATGTGTAAGTATTTTTTAAAATTCTTCATTTTATTATCGAATTCTGGAAGCACTCTAATATTTAATGAATTTTAAATACGTAGATATACATGTGTGTATATTGGTGAGGATTAAACAAAGTACATATCTACTAATTTTAACTATTAATGTATTTCATATTTGAACAAATTCTATCAATTTTATGCTGAAATAAAATACATACGATAATAAAATTAAATTTAATATTGGATGATCGACACCTTCATATAAATAACCTTGTAACACGTGATATTATAAATATTAATGAATTATGTAAAAGTTATCAAATTACACGTTAATAATAAAATTCAGTTTATGTCGTTGTAGCTAAACTTAAACATTTGTTGCAAAATGTAAAACTTGCACAAATCGGGAATAACTATTGTGAAAAGTTGCGTAATTATTTTGTTTACTGAGGCCTAACGTAACTCCATATTTTCTACATTTTATTCGAGTATATCCATTGCAAAGTGTACTTGAAAAATTTACATCTCATTTACAAGTGAATTTAAAGTCATATGACGCGGTAATGAATTAACGTTTATTTGTGAATGAAACTCATTTACTTCACGTTGATACTATGTTGCTTAATAGTGTACAATATAGAAACCTGGCATGCATTAAACATATTGCGTTTATGTGTATGATATGTAGGAAAATTTAGATAAATCACCAAATGGTAATTTAAGGTTTACATTTATATTTTTGGGATTTGAGAACATAAATCAAACGATATTTTATTTTAATTATAATACGGTTTTAAGAAGTATGCATTTCATTTTTTTTAAATTGCAAAATTGCAGATATTGTGTAAAAATTGCATAAAAGTGGTATTATAGAAAAATAAAAAAAGGGAACAACAAAATTTTAAATTAAAATATAAAGATAAAAAAATATAACAATATAACTACTTATTAATATTATTAAAATATAACAATGTAATTTAAAGTAATTATAATATTTAGAATATTTGAAATACATAAAATATTATTTTACAGATCTAAAATATGAGTAAAATATATTTTAGAATATAAATATAAATGAAATATTTTTAAGTATTTTTTGTTAGAATATTTTTCGTAAACAACTGTATGCAAATTGCAAAGTATAATTTTTAATTTTGTATTTAAATCATCAAAGTTTGATCTAAACTTTGAAACTATCTATAACAGATAACTGTAGTAAAAATCTGTATCAAAAATATTTTGTTCACAGATCAACTACAATACATTCTATAGAAGCCTTCATAAAAAAATATGAAGGTAAAACATCGTGTGTGGTAAACGTGTCCATCTGCCCATAACCGAACGCGTTAAAAAAGTGTTGAAGAGAAAAAGAATTCACTACAATTACATTGATGATGCAGGGCAGTAAATTGAAAGCTTAAATTGGAGAATAATTGTGTCCTTAATAATTCTTATCGAAGTATGCCGTATTATATACGACTGTTTTTATCGTGGTAATCAACGTGTTAATATGTTGACTGCAGAACGAAATTAGTCGATTAGCTTACAGTGATTGATTATTATCGTTCCTTGTAATTTATCTTCGTTTACATAGACGGTGGTGGCCGGTTCCGTACAAGTGTGAACGTGAAATTTTATTATTTAGTGAACTTTATGTGCCTCGTACAAGTTTCTCGCTTGGACCGTAATGTGCACAGTGATTTACAGAGAAATGGCTCTCGTATTAAACACGTATACTTTCTTTCAAACGTGTCTTATATTTTTATTATCCTGAAAACTTTTCCAGCTATTTTCTTATTAAATTTAACTTGAAGGTTTCAGATTAATAGAAATATTCGGATTAATAGAAGTATTCAGATTAATAGAAATATTCGGATTAATAGAAGTATTCATATTAATAATATGCAGAGTAATAGTTTTAGTATTCAGATTAATTCTCCTGTGAATCTGCTTATTCAAATTTTACTATTCAAAACTTCTGAATATTTATTCACTGTTAAATCATTATTAGAACCATATACTAAGAAACTATTCTGTAACATACTTTTTGTAAAATGCTTTTCAGACTTCGCAGACTTGAAACTTTGTAAACTTTGTAGCATGCGCAATGTCGAATCATATGAAAGCCTAATGATAAATGCTCCTGCGATTATTTCTTGTAAACTTTTTTAAATAGACTATTCTTGTAGCGCATTCAAAGCGACTGAATTAATTAACCTATAACGCCTCATACATATGCATAATCACTCGTGGCAAGGAAAATGCTTTTTCTTCTGGACATTTGGACATAGTTGACCTAATTTCGTCAGTGAAATAGTTTCTACTGTCGATATGTAAATACGGACACAATGCGATTCATAACTGAAGTATAAATATTCTTTTCATTCTACTTCTTTCAAATATTAGTATCTTTAAATATTTGTTATTTACGATTAGCAAATATTCAAGTTATTAAGACAAACTCGTTATGAAAAATTATAAATATCTAAAATATGTTTTCAAGAGTGGTGGTTATTATTATTAATTTATCACTGTGAATGGAAGTCGCACAAAATATTTCCTCCAAAAGGAAGTTGCATTTTTAAATGATATTTTTCACTTATATTTTCATAAGAAATTCACTGACACTTCTGAAGCATGAAATACTCTAAAACGTGAAATGAAGTAATCTGAAATACCTAACAAAGCTAAATAAAATACTTTTATCTTCCCATAAACTAAAACCCTAAAAGACACGAAATCCATTCTGCACGATAAAACAATGCCTCTCAACGTATTTATGAAAACGCGTAACATAAATATTCGCAATCTATTACCAACTCGAATTCGCAACAATCTTCAATTCGACCATTTCCCCAACATAAATTTGTCCGCTGCATAACATCATATTCCCGTTATCAACTATGTGTCTCTGTTACGTTTCAGTTTATATCCGGCTGCAGAAAGAATAAAAAGTAACAACCATAATAAACAGTATCTCGATACGTAGTTATCGATACACATGTCGACCAACGATTGACGCAACTTTCGCCGCTATTAAAAAACTGCTAGTAATTGCGGTGATTAATGTTCAGAGTCGTTTGAAAAAAAATCATGCTGGAGGTCTGCCATTACTATAAACGACGGAATATATGGGACAGATTGCTGGTTCACCGGGTGATGAACATAAACGCGGATAAATATTATGTAAATCTTATGGTGAGTAACGTAATACAGCTTACGGGTAGAATGTACATAGGTGTAGGTTTGTCAGGAAAATTGTAGTAAAGCTAAGTGCAAGGATAATACTTATTGTTTGTGACTGAGAGAAATCGATAAGCGGGAAAGTGTAGGATAAGGTGAAGTGGGGTAAGTTCGTAAACGGGACAAATGTGAATACAAGCTATTTTTATTACAATATGAGTTATAAATATCTAAAATATGTTTTCAAGAGTGGTGGTTATTATTATTAATTTATCACTGTGAATGGAAGTCGCACAAAATATTTCCTCCAAAAGGAAGTTGCATTTTTAAATGATATTTTTCACTTATATTTTCATAAGAAATTCACTGACACTTCTGAAGCATGAAATACTCTAAAACGTGAAATGAAGTAATCTGAAATACCTAACAAAGCTAAATAAAATACTTTTATCTTCCCATAAACTAAAACCCTAAAAGACACGAAATCCATTCTGCACGATAAAACAATGCCTCTCAACGTATTTATGAAAACGCGTAACATAAATATTCGCAATCTATTACCAACTCGAATTCGCAACAATCTTCAATTCGACCATTTCCCCAACATAAATTTGTCCGCTGCATAACATCATATTCCCGTTATCAACTATGTGTCTCTGTTACGTTTCAGTTTATATCCGGCTGCAGAAAGAATAAAAAGTAACAACCATAATAAACAGTATCTCGATACGTAGTTATCGATACACATGTCGACCAACGATTGACGCAACTTTCGCCGCTATTAAAAAACTGCTAGTAATTGCGGTGATTAATGTTCAGAGTCGTTTGAAAAAAAATCATGCTGGAGGTCTGCCATTACTATAAACGACGGAATATATGGGACAGATTGCTGGTTCACCGGGTGATGAACATAAACGCGGATAAATATTATGTAAATCTTATGGTGAGTAACGTAATACAGCTTACGGGTAGAATGTACATAGGTGTAGGTTTGTCAGGAAAATTGTAGTAAAGCTAAGTGCAAGGATAATACTTATTGTTTGTGACTGAGAGAAATCGATAAGCGGGAAAGTGTAGGATAAGGTGAAGTGGGGTAAGTTCGTAAACGGGACAAATGTGAATACAAGCTATTTTTATTACAATATGAG